GACCACTTCTTTACGAAAGAGCAGACAAGGCCGAGACAGGGCCAGACTGACAAAGCTACGAAGTGGCAGACGTGGGACCCAAATCCAGGGGCCGACCTGGTCTCCTGCCTCTCTCCTGCTCTGCGGCACTTTCTCAGCCCATGTCTACACTCATACCACCCCAACAGAGACTTGCTTTAATGATTTTATAAAATTAGCCCTGGTTGGTGTGGCTCAGTGGATTGAGCGTGGGCCTGCGAACCAAAGGGCCACCGGTTCGATTCCCAGTCTAGGGCACGGACTTGGGTTGCTGGCCAGGTCCCCAGTGAGGGGCACACGAGAGACAACCACACATTGTTTCTCTCCCTCTCTTCTCCCTCCCCCCTCTAGAAATAAATAAAATCTTTTTTTAAAAAGTAAATAAATCTTGTTTTTTAAAAATAATTTTATAAAATTATTAATGAATCCTCTCTCTTTCTCTACTTAGGACCCCCTGGAGCTAAATCCACCCCATCCTACCAGGAGTTCAGTTCCTAATACCGACTCCACCCGACTCCTAGTTCCCCCAACCCCCCACCCCCTGCTTCCTCAACAGAACGTTCAATTCACATTCTAAAGTTCTCAAGATTCCACTGCCACCGGCACATACCATTCTGAACTTGACACTTTTTTAACTTCTTCCTCATGGAGAGCAGTAAAGGCGGCAGCTGACCCAAGGCCAGCTCCACCTAACCTACGGCGTCCGGCATGGGCGTTTCTGGAGCAGAATGCCTCGAAGACTCAGGTCCTGGAAAGCAGCATGCTGTCCAGGTGGGGTCCCCAAGTGGTGTGGAAGACTAGTAGAACCCGACCACAATGACATGTTACTTCCCTGAGGCTACAGTGTTCAAGTGTCAGGTCTGCAGAAGGTCCTTGAGCCTGACACCAAACTGGATCCCTGACAGGGTCCAATCACAACAGATCTACAGAACGTCACAGCTAGTGATTTTAAAAATACCAGTTGCTTCCATGTTGTACAGAAACAGAGTAAATTAGTACATCATTCCTGGAGGGTGATCTAACATGTGCCCGGAAAGCTTTGAAAGATACTTACTTAATGAAACAATTTATCGTCGAGATTTGTACTATGTCCACATAACCGCAGATGCAGGCGACAGTTGTACCTCCAGGTACTTCTACTGTGAAATAGACACCTACTGGAGCAAACTGTTTCCCACAGTGTGGAATTCTTGACGTTTTGTACCGGGAACCATTTGGCAGTCTGCTAAAGCCTATGGGTACCTTCTAAGAATAATGTTGCTAAATATGTAAAATCGTGATCATCATTTTGAAGTAGTGATGAGCAAAAACAACATTTCAAGATATATGTGCATGACTATAAAGCAGTAAGATCCAAAATGTCCAACCATCCTACCGATGATGGTAACTATTGCCAAAGTTTTAGGTCAGGCTAATGTTGTTGTGATATGTTGCTTGCCTTTGTGATAGCAAGAAATGCTCCATTTCAGTTACACATTGGTGAGGGGGAGAAGGTCTAAGCTTTTAATCCTGCCCAAGTTACCTGACTCTCTGATTTCTACCCAGGGACCCTGGCTAAGAATCCCAAAATGCATCTATCTACACAATAAAATGTGAAGTAGCCTTGAAAATGACAGAAAATGAATGACATAAAGAAAAAAAAGAAAGGCAAATTACTGCCCAGTGTGTTCAAAGATTCTCACCTTAATACATATATATATATATATATCTATATGAAAAACACTGAAGAGATACACAAAAATGTTATGAGTTCTTTCCTCTGGGTAGTGAGTTTACATATGTTTTTTTTTTTCCCCTTCTAGTTTGTCTTGTTTTCTTCAGAATTTTTTAAAAAGATTTTATTTATTCATTTTTAGAGAGAAGGGAAGAGAAGGAGAGAAATTTCAATGTGTAGTTGCCCCTCTCGCACCCAGTACTGGGGACCTTGCCTGCAACCCAGGCATGTGCTCTGACTGGGAATTGAACTAGAGACCTTTTGGTTTGCAGCCGGAGCTCAATCCACTGAGCTACACCAGCCAGGGCTCTTCAGAAAATTTTTACAATGAACATATTGTAACAAGAAAAAAAATTACAAGATATAATATCTCCTAAATAAATTTGAAATTTTTTTTTAAATTTTTAAAGATTTTATTTATTTATTTTCAGAGAGAGGGGAGGGAGGGAGAGAGAGAGGGAGAGAAAGGTCAATGTGTATGCCCCAACTGGGGACCTGGCCCACAACCCAGGTGTGTGCCCCGACAGGGAATCAAACCCACAACCTTTTGGTGCACAATCCACTGAGCCACACCAGCCAGGGCAAAATTTTAAATTTTTACCAAAAAAAAAAAAAAAAAAAAAGTCCATACTAAAAAATTTTAAGTTTGACATTAGGAGTCCAAAAACAATATAAAATTAGGTTACAGTTAATACAGTGAACCACAGAACATTACAAACAGAAGGGTACCTCGGACTCTAAAAAGTCCACGCCTCTCCTGTTCACAGCAGAAACACCCTCTTTGGTACCGATTCCAGAAGCCCTAACCCTCGACCTCCACACAGGGCTCTCCCCACAACAAGTGCACTCGTTTCTCCTTCGGCCAAACAGACATAGAACATCTGCATTCAGAAACCGAACACGCACACTGAAGTGGGAGTGGTCCTGCCTGTGATCGAGACAATCCAGCCTGAGCGTTGAGCGGCAAAGCCCCGACATTCCAGCAGATGGGGACAGGACCACGCAGACCAAGGCTCTGGAAATCCCACTTCACGTCCCCCACCTCCTAAAGTGAGGAAAAGGGCGGAGTCTGCAGAAGGGGTGGAGACCAATCTCACAGTGCTATTGCTCCTCCTGGGTTGGCTCCCCTCCCACCCTGCACTGCAGCCCTTCCAGTCCAAGTGGGCGGAAGAGCACCAGCTACTTGACCACAGCCTGTCCTACAATCCCCTGGGTCCCTTCAAACACAGTACTGTTTCCTCACCTGAGCCCCAAGAGAACCTACGTAGGACAGGCACCACTCTGTCCTACAGTTAGGAAAACTGTCTCACTGCCCAAGGTCAACCTCAGAACCCAGGTTTCCCCACTTTTTCAAGGTACTCTTTCCACTGCGCCTCTCCATGTGCCCTGAGGAGGGTCAAAACAGGCCATAAGTATCTATCTTTCAGTCTGACCACCCACTGGCCTGGCCAGGGGTGCACGGGCAACCCCCTCACCAGGGCCTGGCACCTTCCTGGCGACGCCATCCAGCCGCCTGGCCAAGTGCAAAGGTGTGCTCCTCCCAGCCCCTCTCTCACGAGGCACAGGCCCCACCCCTCACGTGGTTCGGCAACCCGGCCTCAGTGAAAAATACTCTGCTATGAGCAACGGAAGTTTCCGGCAGGTGTGAGTAACCCGGCGAGAACTAAGCCATTGTTGATTTAATTCTCTTACTGGGATAGAATTCACGCAGTTTTTCCTCAAAGGAGCAAAACAGCACATGCATGTAGAACTAAGCGGATTCTCTAAATTTTTAACTCAGCATAAGCTTCTTACTGGAATATAATTCATACAATTTTTCTTACTGGAATACAATTCATAGTTTTCCTCAAAGGAAAAAAACAGAACATGTATGTAGAACTAAGCTGATTCCCTGAATTTTTAACTCAGCATAAGCTAAAGGAGAATAAGGTTTAGCTTATGGTTTATTCCAATTAACAAAAACTATTATACATGTGTATATTTTTTGGGAAGTTAGAAAAGAGAGCTCCAGTCCCCCGTGACCTTCTCTCAATTGCCCTCCAGTATAATTTCATAGAAACAAATTCTAAAGTTACCGTAAGTCCATCACCTTCTCAATGAACCTCTCCCTCAAACATTTAGCTACTGTATGCTCACATGACCCTACATCTTTGTGGGAATTATTTCCCAAGGCCAAGTTTTTGAAAATAAAATTTTCCTAACTAAAATTGAGCAATCACTCACCCTTGAGAATCCCTGTTGTTGCCGCATCTTTTTCAAGGTCCATTAAAAAAATTTAAAGCATGTTCACTTTCATATAAAATAACTCAAAAACCAGTCCATCCACATTCCTGTAACATGTTGCAACTCGCACAGGAATAGATCAGGGAACAATGAGGTCACCTGGCTGCCCTGTGACCTCAGGCTCAGGAGACGCGTCAGGCTCAGCAGACGCGGCACTGCTCTGCGGAGTGATCCGAAATATCGCACAGACAACAGGGACGTGAACTTGCACTCACGTTTGTAAGCAGCTAAAATATTCGAGAGCCGCACTGCCCAATACAGTAGCCGCTGGTCGCAGGTGCCTACTGACCACTTCGACCGCAGGGAGTTCAAACTGAGCCGTGCTGTCAGCGCACAAACATACAGCGGGTTTGGAAGTCTTAGTACTAACAGAGGAAACGACATCTCACTGATAGTTTCACACTGACTGTATGTTGTCATAATACTTCCTATATGTTGGGTTACGTAAAATATTAATTTCACCATTTTAACTTTTTAAAAAAAGATTTTATTTTTTATTTTTAGAGAGAAGGGAAAGGAAGGAGAGAGAGGGAAGGAAACATCTATTGGTTGCCGCTCGTACACGTCCCATCCGGGGACCGAACCCAAGACTCTGGCATGTGCCCTGACCCAGAATCAAACCAATGACCTTTCGCTTTGCAGGACAATGCCCAACCAACCAAGCCACCTTGGTCAGAATCACCTTTTTAACTTCAATGTCACTACCAGAAACTCCATGATTACATGTGACTCACATTATAACTCTCTATACAAATAATCCTGCCACCTCTGACTTGTCCTTTTTTACCCAGTCTTCTTGAGTACGGTAAGCTAGATTTCGACATTACAATCAAAGGCAGTCTTCACCTGGGGGCGCCCACCAGGACACTACAGGGCGGCGAGCGTTACCGGGGATTCCAGACCGTCCTGCACAGGCTCACGAGGAGGCTGCCAGAATCCTCTCTGCACACAGGCCCAGAGCAGCACGTCTTCACATCTAACTCACCTGGCAGATGATCATGAACTTCTCGACTGATGGGCGTAGTGCAGACTCCACTGAAATCCAGAGAATTATCCAGTATGGCATTTATCCTCTGGAAGATACTGGCATTGCTACACGTGGAGAGTGCGTGTGCCTCCTGGCTGTCCCAGCAATCTTTGATCCTTCCCGCTTCCTCCTCCTAGACACAGAGCAGAGACATTCAGGGTGTCTGCACTCCTCACGACAGCCCCGTTCCCCCAACCCGACGCCAAGAGTCAGAGAACACCGCAGCGAGGGTTGGTGCGTCCTGCCTGTGTGCTCAAACACTCCGAGAGTGCTTACTGTGGGCCCTGAGCAGGCTGCCGCGAGGGCCTTCTCCTCGGACGGGGTGTGTGCCGGAGCTACCTCGGCAAGGCGGCAGCGGCCCGAGCCTTAGGTCCAGACACACCTGGTTCAGAGCCTGGGGGATGTCTACACGACAGCGTATTATTTGCCAGTGAAAAGCAATGAAGTATTGATGCAAACTACTACATGGAGAAACCTCAAAAATATTATTCTACATCAAAGAAGCCAGCCACAAAAGACATTTTAGACAAGTTCACTGACATAAAACGTCCAGAGTAAACACATCTAAAGCAGATCAGCTGCCTTCCACTAAGGAGCAGGGGCGATTAGGAGGTGGTGGCTAATGGGTACGAAGTTTCTTTGTGAGGCAGTGAAAATATTCTAAAATTAGATTATTGACTGCAACTCTGTAAACATACTAAAAATCACTGACTTGTATATTGAAAGGTGAACTTTATGTAAATTACTTCTCAATACATGTGTTTAAAAAGTGTAGTTCAGCCATGTATTAGCCATCACTCCACCTCTGTGCCTCAGTTTCCCCATCTGTGAAGTGGGAAGAGTATCGCCCTCCTGATGAAGTACTCTGAGTGCATGGTAGCTGCCTGTCACACCTGAAGGTACGGCCATAGCCAGCGACGTGGGAAGAGTGGTACGAACACCACACAAATGAACAGTCTAAATAAGCTGTGCGATTCCGTGTGGTCAGTAAAGGTACATACACGTCATATACGACGTTACCAAGTGAAAGAAGCACTCCTCACAATCGGGAACTGAACCCCCCAAATAAGTGACACCACCACCCAGCAGGCGCCCCGGACTGAGTCCAGGTGCACACGCTCCATTCTCCAGTCTGCCTCCTTCGCCCCGTCCAGGGCCCGACAGCGGGAGTCACAGAACACTGGCTGACAGACGCCTTCCAAGGGGAGTCAGACTCATTAGCTCCTTCAGTCCCAGTGACCTTGGGGGAAATCCCCTAAAAGCAGACTGAGTGAGGAAACAAGCACCTAAGACCCCACAGCCTAGTCAAGTCCAGGTGAGCCTGAGAAGGACCACAGCGTTCAGTTCTGCGAACCCCGCCGATGGCTTGAAGGGACCAACCTGAGTCCCTCATTCTCAAACTCTTGAAAAGACCGGTGTCCCCTGTGGGCAGTGCGGACCGGAGAGCCCCCAGTCCGTGACTCAGGCCTTTCACAGCCCTTGGTTTCTCCAAGTCTCCACGCCACCAGGGCAGCTGCAGGGGCCGGGACACGGGCACCTACAGTCTCCCTGCAGGTCCTCCGGCAGCACGTCAGCACGTCTCCCGGACGCGCTGCCTCATGGTCAACGTGCACCGACTGCCTGCCACCTACACGGAACGCCCGAGAGTAAGCACATTAGAGATTCGACCAGAAGGAAAATTCTCAAGTCTAGAAAGGGAACTCAGAGCTTACTGTGTTGTGAGCAACTGCAGCCCACGCTGCAATGTGCTGTGATGGTTCTCTAAGGCCAGAGGCTCAGAGGAAGAGGCTGTGCCTGGAGTGAGGGTAGGAGGAAGGGTGAAGAGCATGGAGGACAGCGGGACAGCATCCCAAGTGGTCCAGAGTGTGGGGCATCCGGGGCACAAGAGAAAAGAAGGGAGAGGCAGCTTCGCCTACCAGGCTGAGGAGTGAGGGTTATCTTCTACAATAGAGGTTTCCAAACTTTAAAATCCCCCTGTTAATATATAAAAATTAACCTGATTTCAACTGACTGTAATAAGAGGTGTGATCTATATGGATTCCCAGGTCCTGGCCACGCTTACGGGTAGGTTAATGACAACTGCATGGGAGTGTCAGGCAGAGACCGTGAGCAACCACATGAAAGGCGGAGGCAGGAGAGCCAGGGAAGAAAATCCCCGCCCCCTCCTCAGGCCCTAGTGGGTCATCTGGGTAAAGATGCAGACCTGGAGGCCTTGGGGGCAGCTGGGAGGGGAACCTGCGTCCCCAGGAGGAAAGAAGGTCTGAGAGTGTTATCATCTGAAGCAGTCTTAATCACCCTCATTGGGAGGATGCCTGGCTAACCCCGCCCACTGCCCACCCTTCTCTCCAGTGCACCAAGTCAGAGACCCCAAGGACTCGCTGACGTTCGGGTAGAAGCAAACGAAGTGTTGCATTCATACCCAAACTGTGTGACCACATCGCTAAGTACCCCACCGTGTGCCTTGAATAACCGATTCAGAACGGAAAGGGACAAACAAAAGCCCAAGGCAGTGACGTCGGATGGGAACAATGCGTGTACAAGGCCTCTCACAGGACTTGTGACTACGCCGCACATGCCGGGCACGGTACCTGGGACATAATTATGTGCTGAACAGCTGGACGTGGTGATCGTAGTGTCCTTGTAATGACACCAAGGGGTCAGAAGCCACCACAGGGATCCTTGAAGAAAAGAACTTATTTGTTCATAAAGGAGAAAAAAGGGACTAAAGACCCAGGCCAACTATTCCTTTGAAGACCCCAAGTTCTTTCATGTCAGATCTTGCTAGTCAATTGATTTTAAAAGCTTAGCCGAAAGATTAGAAACATACTATAAGTCAGACTGCCTAAACCCTGAACCTGCTGGAAGGCAGTATGATCCTTTTAAACTCCAGTAAATGAATTCAGTTTTTGTTTTCAAAACTCGCACCTTCTACCCACCCCTACTCTGTATATTTTTATCTTAACTTTGATCGATTTATAGGTCTGACTTCATGCCCAAATTTTACCCCAAGGAAAAAGAGGTTTCCTTTCCCTTGCTAATGCTACTATCGCCTGATAGCTTTCACTGCAATTTTCGGCATATTTTCCCATAAAGTGAGATCGTTTGCAGCTTCTTCTGGCCTTTATTTGGTCTTTCGCTGTGGATGGGAAAGTAGGCTTTAAGACAAACCAAAGACTTTTCGAGAGAAGGCAAACCTTAGGACTACTGTGATCGTGGATCAACAGGAAAAAAATAACTGGCAATGCTGGAGAAGAAAAACAACAATTCTTACTGTTACTGGCTAAAAATGGCCTCAAGATAAAACTACTCATAACTACTTATTCTCAGAAAGAACGGTTCATGAGGAATCTCTGCTAACACAAGCAATTTTCTTTAGTAGGTCTCAATTCCCCCTTTTCAACAGGTAACAATCGGCACTCCCATCACAGAAGAGTGGTTTCCTTCCGCAACAATCCTCCATGGAGAGGGCGGGGAGTGGAGGGAGGACTACCGTCCTGAGAATGCACCCCCCTTTCCCACAGGGGAAGAATCCTCCCCAAAACTGGGATTCACTGCTCTGGAAAGCAGAAAGAAGACAGGCTCTGGAGCAGAAACACTAACTTCACCACCTGAAGTAGCTTCTCAGAGCCCCGGCTGCCTCAGGTATGACATGCGGGGCCACCTGCTCTGCAGACCTCGTGGTAAAGAGAAACGTACAAAGAATCCGGGCATGCTCAATAAATAACTTACTAGTGACGGATGTCCCCCAATGCCACGCAGTTGACTAAGTCACCATTACTCAGAAGTACACTTTCAACTACTCACCCCAGTCAGGCTCGCCAAGGAGCATACGTACTTATTCAGCACGTAACTGGACAGTGTGCTGGTTCTGGGGGTGGGTTTTGTCGTGTTTCAATTTTCTTGGATTTCTAAAACATTCAGAAGCTTTAGCGTTAAGATGCTTCCCCCAACCCGGGCAGGACGATGTGAGCAGGAAAAGCGGCAGGATGGTGGAGCTGCTGCAGCCGCCTTCAAATCCCAAACCTAAGGGAAGTCTGCGTTTCGTCCTGAACTCCTGAATTTAATCAAGCGACACCTCCCTCGTCACTCCTGCGGTACGGGTAGGAAAGGGCCCCCCATCCACAGCTCAGCACTCAGCTCGGGGTACAACCCTCCGGAACGACCCAAGGCCCCGGAGGGGCGTGTCCCGGAGCAGCAGGACCACCAGGGTGGCAAAGCTCCGCACGGAGTGGCGGGTGTGAACAGACAAGCCCAGCATCTCTGTACTAGGGCCTCTCGTTGAAACAAACAAACGAAAACCACTCAAACACAGTTCTTTCCCCCGAGAGCACACTAGCGTATAGGGGGGAAAACCAGTGGACCGACTGGGTGGAGGGGAGAGAATCAGATCAGCCCCAGGGGAAGAGGAAACAGGACGCGGGTTCTGCTTCCAGACCTGTCCAGGTTTCGTGCGCCTCAGACAGACAGGCCCATTCAGGAGGCCGCTCGGAGCCAGGGGTCTCGAGAACAACCAGCGCTAAAGAGCGCGACCTAGAACTGGACCGCAGCGAGAGAACGGGCGCTGCAGGAACACACAGGCCCTCTGTGTGAGAGGGCGAGAACGAGCCAGCAGAATGAACCACGGGGAATGCGGCATTCAGGGGGAGGCGGAAGCCTGAAGTGCCAACACAAGAAGGGATCAGACAGAAGCGGGGTGGAGAGTGTGTGGGGGGAGCAAGTCACCGAGTCTTAGGAACCAAGTGGGAATTTTAAGTAAAATGAAATAATCAGAGAGCAACGTAACAGAGGTCAAGGTGCACGATGAATTCTAGAACAACACTAATCTGGAAATGAAGAGACCTGGCTTCCGAGTCTGAGTCTATTATCCGCCTAACCTATAAACTTAGAACACTTCACGTTTCCTTCTAAGCCTAATTCTCCGTGTCCATGAAAATAAGAGTCAGACATGACAACCTGGGTTTGCTGTCATCTCCAAGTTGTACCTGGGAGATAGCGCTGTAACACCTTTTGAACTTCCAAAATTACAACTAAAAAAAAAAAAGAAAACAATTCCAAAATTACAGCTTACAGAAAAAAAGTCTCAGGAGAAAGGGCAAACTCAGAAGACAGAT